ATTGTTTTTTACCACTCAGCAGTTGATGCCTGTGTTGCAACCTATAAAGAGAGTGTTTAGCTCAAACTAAATTGGTGGATATTGGTGAGACTGTGATAAGTACAGTACTGCACAGTTTGATATGATCCATGGCAGCCCGCACTTGCTCTTGGATTTGTGCAAGGGCGTGTTCTGTTACTGGAGAGTTTGGTCTTCCTAGACCTTCTGATATGCTGTAGGAGTGTAACTGGTTAAACGACAATTAAAACATGAATTATTACAAAAACCATACCTGAGTGCCACATTTTAACTCTGCTGCTGACACTTCGCAACTGAAGGATCAGGGTCGATGTTAAGTTTGACCACACCTACCCCACTTACTTATATTGGTGCAGAATGTTTTTAGGAAATCACATCACATATTGTTTGCCTGCATGTAATTTTCTTCTCTTTCGCTTCCCCCTTTGAGCTACATTAAGAAAAACATTAAAGAGTAAATTGACTAATAATCACTACATCATAACCCATAACAAATTTTGAGAGAAGATAAAATGGAGCAGGTTGTTTAGTGATGTAGATTGCTAACAGGGAGATGTCTTCCTTTCTGATGCACTCAACTCTAAAGGTTAGAGGTTGAGAAATTTTCCATTTGCAAGCTGTGAGAATTTCTCTTCGACACCAAATTGCTGCAACTCGCTTGCTTTGCTATTTTTATTTAAATTATAGTCCACATGTTCATTCATGTTGTCATGTCTCTTCATCTATCTTGTTTTAACTCTGATGCAGGATCTCAAAGGGTAAGACCATCTTTTAAAATCATTTTTTATAAATGACTTAGCATATATGCTTCAGATATTTACTAGTGCTAGGAACTGGGAAACTCCAACAACACGACTTCATGAGTTTCTTTTGATTTAGTGAATAACATTTAAGTAGCCTCATTATGCAGTATATGATGCTATAAAGTGCAGAAGGGAAACACGGTGTAGCATTTGGTAAGGCTCGTATATAAAGGTTAATGTCCATCAGCCAGTTTTGCCCTGATTTTTTTTTAATGACCGCGTCTGCATTCATTAAAGGTCATTCATAGCACCATTAAAATAGTGTTTGTCAAACCTAATTTTAAATTATTTTATATTTATAATATTGTTTGCACAACCAAATGATGCATTTTAAGAAGTGATAAGAGCCCCTGATGAGGATGGCAGTTGAACCAACTGAACATTAAGTTGAAAGTGGAAGTATCCACATAAACACGGTCTATTAATTGTCTGCTCTTTCAAGACATTTGTCAGCTCCGGGACCTTAGGAGTTAAATGTATAATCAACCCTTTGGGGACAAGACTGTTCTGTCTCACATGGGAAAAAGTAACTTTCAATGAAAAATAAGGTCCTCAGTTGGTGATTTATCATCTCAAAGGGCATATTTTATTATAAATGTCAATTCCACAAAATTATGTGTCCTGTAATACATAATTATGTTCAAAATTGCATTTGAAATCTATTATTAACAGTTAACAGTGAACATTCTTAAAATAGTTATTACTCTTGGCCTTAACACAAAAAGCAATAATGGAGGTATTTTAGGGAGTTAAAAGCTGCAAGGCATTGGCCTCTGAATAAAGCCACTGCAGGTGTGTTTCTTAATGGGCTGTTAATTTTATAGCAAGTGAACACAAAGGACAGAGACCATGTGTGTTTTTAAACTGTGTTTGGTGTGGAGAAAGAGTTGATGGCTGAAAAATAGAAAGGCCGTGTGGAAAGAGGCCAAATTGAATTCCCCCCTGAGGTGCAATCCTGTGGCTTAGAGTCAAGGCAAACTAATTCTTGCCCCTCCTCTTCTATCCCTTCCCTCCCCCCTCCACTCAACAGAGAATTCCACAGAAGCATATAGTAATAGAGTACCTCAGAAATAATTAGAAAATTTGGAAATAAATAATAAAGACCTTCTTGTCCAAACTCAGCACCCTCTCACACTAACTAGCTCCTTTTAGGCTTCTTGTATTTGCTACTGGCATTGTCTGAGTCACCCAAACTCACAACCATGGAGTAAGTTTTGACCCTCCCTCAGCCCCCATACCTAGTGTCCCAGTGTCCTAACAACCTTGCTTCTCAGTGTGTATGCTGTGTACCATGCAACACGGGCATTACTTGGGAACTTGTGAGAAATATCTGACCTCAGACCTACTTTATCATAACTGCATTTTAAAAAGACACCCTTCTTAAGCACATTCAAGTTTGAGAAGCGCTGTTCTAGAATCTTCCTTTATATTGTCTTCTTTCTTTTTTTCTTCTTTCTGAGAAAATAACTTTTATTATTATAAATAAGTCTCTTTATATTTTAGATATACTTTTGACTTTTGGTAAAAAAAATGTCTTTAAATTTTATTTTTTAATTCAGAGTGATGACTCTTACCTTGTGACACAAGCATTTAGTTCATTGCTCTTTATTTTTTTATAATTTATCTTCCATCTTCTTTATGTTTTCCGATTGATCCATCTAGTCTGTGCCTTCCCTGTCTTGCTTTAGTTTAGATAAGTTATTTTTTATCTCCATATTATTTTCTCTATGCTAGTGTGAAAAATAAATTTTTATTTTTTTAGTATTTATGCTTGAAAGTACAATAAGATTTTTAAAATGTAGAGTAATCTGAAGTTCATTGATATTTGTATCATTCTTTAGGATAACCCGGTTTTATACTTCTTCAATAATATGTGATTTTTTTAACTTTATTGAGGAAGAATTGACAAATATAGTTGTATATATTTAAAGTAGACAATGTGATGATTTCATATACACATACAATGTAAAAATGATCAAACAGGTCAGGATAATTAACACATCCATCACCTCACACTCACATAGTTAACTTTTTTGGTGTGGTAGGAATGCTTAAGATCTACTCTCAGCAACTTTCACGTGTGTAATACCATCTTGTTAACTACAGTCGCCATGCTCTATGTCAGATTGTCAGAGCTCCTGCTTATAGCTGAAAATTTGTACCCTTTGACCTACATCACCCTGTTACCCCCTCCCTCCAGCCCTGGCAACCATTCTAGTCTCTGTTTCTATGAGATTGGCTTTTATTCTTTTCTAGATTCCACGCATAAGTGATATCATATAGAATTTGACTTTCTCTGTCTTGCTTATTTTACTTAGCATAATGCCCTCCAGCTTCATCCATATTTTTGCAATTGGGAGCACTTCCTTCTTTTTTGTGGCTGAATAATATTTCATTGCCTGTGTGTGTATATGCACATACATATATACACACAATGGAGTAGTGTGTGTGTGTGTATGTGTGTGTGTTTGTGTGTATCACATTTTCTTTATCCATTCATCCATCAAAGGATATTTAGATTGTTTCCATATCTTGGCTATTATGAATAATGCTGCAGTGAATGTGGCTGTGTAGATACGTCTTCAGGATCCTGATTTCAGTTCCTTTCCATATATACACAGAAGTTGGATTGCTGTATCATATGGTAGTTCTATTTTTTTGAGGAACCACTGTACTGCTTTCCAAAATGACTGTACCATTATTGCATACCCACCAATGGCATATAAGGGTTCCCTTTTCTCCATATCCTTACCAACATTTGTTATTTCTTATCTTTTGATACTAGTCAACCAAATGGGTATGAGGTGCTATCTCATTGTGGTTTTGACTTGCATTTCCCCAATGATTAGTGATGTTGAGTACCTTTTCATATACCTATTGGCCTTTTTGGGAAAAATGTGTGTTCAAGTCCTTTGCCCATTTTTACATTGGGTTATTTGCTATTTTGCTATTGAGTTGGATTATTTGCTTTTTTTTTTTTTTTTTTTACTATGGAGTTGTATGAATTCTTTGTGTGTTTTGGATAGTATCCCTTATTAGATATATGGTTTGCAGGTAACTTTCTCCCATTCTGTATATGGCCTTTTCAATTTATTTAATTGTTTCTTTTGCTGTACAGAGCTCTTTAGTTTGGTGTAGCCCCACTTGTTTATTTTACAGGTGACTGGACTGTACTTATTCCACGTGAACTGTTGAGCCCACTGTAAATTTAGATCTTTAGGTCATTTCACCTGAATTATTGTTCCATAATTCTCTATCATCCTTGTGTTTCCACCTCTAAATCATTCTACCTTCTGCCTCAAGATTAGTTTTTCTAATGTATCCAAATATCTCCCTTCTTCTTAAAAACCTTTAATGACTCTCCTCTTTTTTTTTTTTTTTGGTACAAAGTATTCCTTTCATGTGGAAAATTCTTGTCAACAGCTCTGTTGAAATCTTCTCTTCCCTTTAAGGCCCATCTTCAATACTACTTCCCATAAATACCCTTTTCTAAATCATTCATTCATTCATTCATTCACTCATTGAATAAATATGTATGGATCACATACTATTTGCATACATTCTTCTAGTTACTGGGGATAAAGCAATGAACAAAACAGCCACAGCCTCATGGAGCTTATATTCTCTTGGGAGAAAATAGGCAATAAACAATAAACAAGTAAAACATGTGGTATGTTAGGGATGTAAGTACTAAGAAGAAAAATAAAGGAAGATAAAGGGCATAGAGACTGCTAGGAATGAGGAGTATCCTCCAATCAAATACTCCTTACTCCTTTGAATACCCAAATCATTTCTTTTCCTTTACAACATGGTTATTTGTGCATTTGTCCTATTTCTTCTCTTATATTCAGAGCTCCTTGAGAGCAAGTAGCTCATCTTGCTCATCTTTGTATTGCCTGCATTTAACCATTTAAATTTAACCATTTAATAATGATTAAAATGAATCAAGTTATGGAAATAAATGTAACAGTAATGCAAGAGAAGGGAGATACTGGTATAGTGGTTGGTTAGGGAAGTCTTCTTGGAAGATCATTTGTGTAAAGCCCTGAAATATGGGTAGGGTGGTGGAAAAAAGACCTTAGTAAGTCATTTTGATATTTTTGTCCTGAAAAGCTAAAAATCATCGCTTTATAAATTACGATTAATATTATCTGTAATTTTCTTTACCTTTAAAACCAGTGTTTCAGAAGGGACGGGCGATAGACACCGGAGAAGTTGACATTGGTGCACAAGTCATGCAGACCATTCCACCTGGCTTATTCTGGCGTTTCCAGATTACTATCCACCATCCTATATATCTGAAATTCAATATTTCTTTAGCCAAGGACTCTCTGCTGGGAATTTATGGCAGAAGAAACATTCCACCTACACACACTCAGGTATTTGATGCTATAGGTGTTTCTTGACCCTTTGGAGGGTGGTGGGATGAACAGTTCAGGGTTTGTGACTTGCAAAGTATGTGAGAATCAAAGGTGAAGGCAGACAGTTTTTGTAATGAGCAAACATCCAGAATAATCACACTCAAACGAATGAAAACAAAAAATGACTGAGAAATATGCAATAGCATTTAGCAGAGCAGATTCAGAAAAGGAAGTTTAAGAAAATATTCTTGAAATTTGAATTCTGTTTCCTGGAATAAGATGATCATGAGCCATCCTGGCCCCCTCATCTTACTTAGCTTTTGGGACCATACCTCCTTCACTGGCCCCATATGGTCTTGACCCCTTGTCCCGATGAAGAATGCAAATCAATAAGGGAAATGAGTCTAAAAGGCAGGTTTTATCTTATGGGTAGAAATTTTTTCTTGTTATTGTTAATAATAACTCAAATATGTAAATCTTCTGTGGTTTAGAAAGCCCTTCTATAAACGCTAACCACCTCATTTCTCTCATTTTTCCCCCTTATCTCTTTCTTGCACGAACCCATTTGGGGCCTTGCTCCATCTAAGAAGTAGCGTAAGGAATCATAACCATCAGGGGATTGCTTTTTTTTTTTTTCCAACAGATATGACCATAGTCCAAATCTTACCTTCTGGATGGGAATAGGCAGGGAATTAGAATGCCATTCAAATGTGACTCTTAAAATGCCCAAGGAAATGTGTGCCATGCACTTGTCCACTGATTAGGGGGAAAAAGGAGGGGGTTCTTTGAATATTTAAATATGCTACCACAAAGGTAGTAAATTACGAATGTCCTCAAATTTTTGACTGTTTATTTGTTTTAAAAACTGTAAAACTCTTAAATTTGTAGAGAAGATCATGGTAACTTTTTTGAGGGGAATGTGTGGTTTCGAGTATCTTCTGATACTTTAGTAAAATATCAAGATTCTCTCGCATAGTGCCAAATACAATTTTTTTCTATCTCTTGGTTTATTTATTTTTAGACAATTATTTTGAATACTCCAAAACTGAAAGGTATTTTATAACATTTATAAATATAGTGGGTTTTTCAGAATTAATAAAATACTTTTGTGTTTAAGTATAATTAAGAACGAGTAACTTCCTCTTTCAAAGCAAAGAAGTGTGGAAGAGAGCAGTTGAAGTTAGAGATGTTCGTTAGTCTAGAAGTAGAAGTAGTGGCTCAGATTTGCGTGTATTTGTTCCAGTTCGACTTTGTAAAATTGATGGATGGAAAACAGCTGGTCAAGCAGGACTCCAAGGGCTCTGACGATACCCAACACTCCCCTCGGAACCTGATCTTAACCTCACTGCAGGAGACAGGTTTCATAGAGTATATGGACCAAGGGCCTTGGTATCTGGCATTCTACAATGATGGAAAAAAGATGGAGCAAGTATTCGTGTTAACTACAGCAATTGGTAAGCTGCCTTGACTATTATTTTGAATTGACAGTATAATTCTAGAAAGACAGCAGTGATTAAAGTGATACAGATGTCATTTCAACCCATCGTTCATTCTGCCTTAAAGTCCTTATTCAAGATAGGTCACTACAAGAAAGGCTTATATTATTGTTGTCATTAATGTTGTTTAAATGCTGATTAAGATTTTCTAAATGCTCCATTATTTGCTGCTTTGTAGGATACTTGCCGTGTACCTTTTTATGTATTTTCGACAGGAATAGTTACCTGGATAATATTATTACCAAGGCTGCATAGATGAACAACTTCAGTGACAAAGGAAATAAGCAAGAGAATCTCTGTTCATTCAAGATCCATTAGAAAAGACAAAGCAAATAAATACCTTTTAAAATGGAGAAACTAGCACCAGTCCAGCTCTTCTTTAGAACAACCGATTCTAGAACCATTAAGGCTTCAAAAACCTACGAGTATTCAGAGAAGGGTCTTAAGGATAATAACTTGGACCACTCATAGCCCTTTCTTTTGGAATTTTTTAGCCCCGAGGGGAAACATCTCATAGACATAGTATTTTATTGTGTGAATCTTCCTAACACACATGTCTTTTAAAAGAAGGGAAAATATTTTACAGCTGTCCGTTTTCTATCCAACTCTTACCACTTTATCCTTTAGTTAACCTGTTCAACCATATGTTTAGGAAGATGTGTTGACTGTTAATAGACATACCATCTGCTCTTTATAACAATTATGTTCTATTTTTACTTGATGCTGAAGACCTTGACCCAGTAGAAAATGGTATTCCAGCCATAATATTAACAAAAACTTTCCTCTAAAGTAATCAGACTATAAAAATACACCGATTATTTTTTTTCCCCTGGAGAAAAACTCCACAGATTTTACATCTTCAAAAGACAGTGTATTTGTTAAATTAGAAAAAAAAATTGAAGTCCTGACACTTTTTTGCAACGCTAACAGACTCAATGGAGCAGATTTAATAGATGTACCTTTCATGATATTGTTTTTCTATCAAGGCCCAATTTTGGTAATGCAGATGCCAATGAGTCATGGGAAGTTGAGTTCCTCCTAAGAAATCAAACAGTTAGAAGATCTAAAATATTTGTGAAGATTTTCTCTCTTCCTGTTATCCTTACCAGTAAGCTCAAGTTAAAACACCAACCCAACTATTAACCTTTCAAAAATCAATAGACCCAGAAACATGCTTGAAATTTTTTCCTGTCCCTTACTTCCTCCCAAAAAGAAGCTAATCTTTGAGATACAATTCCTATTATCCAGATATCACGCTGTCAGTTTCATATGCAACAAAGTATTTGCTTCTTCCTTATGCAAGTCACGTTTTTTTCTACTTTTCTGTTGTGTTTTTCATTTTTTTTTAATGTTTATTTATTTTTGAGACAGAGAGAGACAGAGCATGAACAGGGGAGGGTCTGAGAGAGAGGGAGACACAGAATCCGAAGCAGGCTCCGGGCTCTGAGCTGTCAGCACAGAGCCCGACGCGGGGCTTGAACTCACAGACCGTGATATCATGACCTGAGCCAAAATCGGACGATCAACCGACTGAGCCACCCATCTGTTGTGTTTTTATGATTAGAAGTAACAGAAACACTTCTGCAATTCCACTTAAAGAGAATCCAAGTAAATTTCTGAAAAAAATCACAAGTATTAAGTTATTTGCTCTAAATGCTCCCCATTAATTTTTTTATGTTTTTATAATTTAACTGCAGTAAAGAGAGGCTAATATATTTGATTAAACAATTTAAGCTTTGTATCAATTTGACTACGCTAAATGCTGTTCTTAGCTGTTCGTTCTCTATTTCATGATGTTAGAATCGGTTGATTGATCTTAACTCTATTTGGTCCACTACTAATAAGGATCAAGACAATATTAGCAATAAGCATTTATTGAATGACTAATATAGGCTAGCCACAGGCCTATATTAATATATGTTATTTTCCAGTAGTATAGACAGAGTTGTCAATATCCCCTAATCTCAGCCAACCTGCTCTATAACATGATAATATATACCACTTATGGAGTGCCATTCTGCCCCCAAACACTGTACCAAATGATTTACATTCAATAATCTTGTTTGATTCCCTTCACAACACTGATAGCATAGGTGTAGTGATATTTATATAATAAATAAGGAAATGGAGGCTTGAAATGAGTAAATAATCTGATAGAGTCTCACAGCCAACAAGTGGCAAAATTGAGATTTGAGACAACCAAGTATGTCTGACTCCAAAGCCCATGCCCTTCAGGCCGTAATCATTCCATCAGATTTAGTTTCTCCCATAAGAAAACCTGCCAGGAGCAAAACCCATCATCAGTGCAGATGCAGATATCGAGGGGCTTTAGACTCTAGAATAAAAGTAGAGTTTTATGCATAGAACTTTAAAATCATTCTCAACTCTAATGAACTGCAGTTGAGGAAGTGATTCTGAAGGAAGATTAAAAAGATAGAAGGCTGGGGCGCCTGGGTGGCGCAGTCGGTTAAGCGTCCGACTTCAGCCAGGTCACGATCTCGCGGTCCGTGAGTTCGAGCCCCACGTCGGGCTCTGGGCTGATGGCTCGGAGCCTGGAGCCTGTTTCCGATTCTGTGTCTCCCTCTCTCTCTGCCCCTCCCCCGTTCATGCTCTGTCTCTCTCTGTCCCAAAAATAAATAAACGTTGAAAAAAAAAATTTAAAAAAAAAAAAAAAGATAGAAGGCAAGAGGCACCTGGGTGGCTCAAACAGTTAAGCATCTGACTCTTGATTTCGGCTCAGGTCATGATATCACAGTTCGTGAGTTCGAGCCTCACATGAGGCTCTGTGCTGACGGTGCAGACCCTGCTTTGGATTCTGTGCCCCTCTCTCTCTCCCCCTCCCCTCTGTCTGTCTGTCTGTCTGTCTCTCTCTCTCTCAATAAATAAATAAATAAATAAATAAATAAATAAATAAAAATAAACTTTAAAAAGGATAGAAGGCAAAATTTCATGGAAGCCAACATAAATAGAAAAACACATTATTTCTCATCACGAGTTACTTATGTGTTCCTGCTGTAGCCATCCTCCTCCTAGATTCCCTGGGCTGTCCCAGTGTCTCTTTGATACCCAGTGGAGGTGGCAGCTTCCAGATCCTCCCTATATTGCCTTCTCTTCTCATTTGCATTGCTGGTGTTAAGTTCTGTGCGGCAGTGTGGGCCCAGAGACAGATCTTAGATAAGTCAATAAGATGTAGGGATTTTTATTTATTTTGATAGCAAACTTTATTAAACATTTTTTCTACAATAGCTACATTCCCACAAGGCTGCTTGCATAAGGTTGTCAATAGGAGCTGGTGTGAAATTAAATTCAACTATATTTACCTTTGAAAGCTTCCTCCATGACCTCCTATTAACCATCCAGGGCAGGGGAAATCCAAATGTAGATTTAAGAACTGCCACTATCACTTGGCACAAGAAACATAGATTAAGTAGAAACTGGAGACGTAATTGTTCTGTCTTTGAATGGAAAAAACTCTGTGCCTTTTCAGCACCTTTTAAAGAAGTTAATGATTTTATGAAAATAACGAGTGTTTTAAGAAGTTAAAAATGGTCAGCTCTTTGTCAAACGTTCCGTTCCTGTCAGACCAGTTGTCGCTCAGCAAATGCCACGTATAAATTTCTTATCCAGTTCAGTTTTCTAGCACAGGGATCAGAGAACAGATTATCATAAACCTGCAAAAAGCTATCTGATGTATTCACACAGGGGTGACAAGAAGAACCTCTTCTGAGTGATAATAGGGGGCTATGCACACAGCCCCTGGATTCATTCTCGGCTTTCTAAGAATTCCCCCCAAAACTAGATACCACTTTCTTCCTCTTGGCTTTTATTCTACCCAAGGCCGAACCCCAAGTCTAGATCAGAAGTTCTCTAACTATGGAAGCTTCCTATTTGAAGCATTGGTTCTCAGTGCCTTAATGAGGTGAGCCACCTGCAGGGTCACCTGAGGTTTTTGTTAGACTGTGGATTCCTGGGCTGCATCCTTCAGATTCAGTAGGTCTGGAGGGAAGCCTAGGCATCTACATTGTAAGTGTTTTGGGTGATCTACTGATCCAGGTGGTCAAAAGGCCACAATTGAAGAAATGCTATTTCTCGGCCCTCATTATGAATTCTCACAGCGGAGTAGAAGACGCCAAGACCACTTCCTAGAATATCTCCTTCTAATTGGAAATAGCTTATGCAAGTGAAACGAGATGAAGTAGATAATTTGGATTGAAAAGGAAAAACTGGTACATACGAGAAGTGTGAGTTTAATGGGCCAGAACGTAAAACTCTGAATCCAAGAATGCTAAGTATGGAAAACTTCCAGAAAGAGTAATGAGAAGATGATTTAAAAAAAAAAAAAAACTGAAAGAAGAAAGCACACATACCATAAGAGTTCATGGACTTGGAATTTGACTTTATTATACTCAAATACAATTTTAAACTAGAAATAATTTTTGTCATTGTCAGAGCCTGACTTTTGTATAACTTCCTACCTTTTCAGCCAAATTACTAACCACAAGACTTATCAAAGTTCTGTCGCACTGCACATCTTTATGTCACCAGAACTACCTATGGGCGCCTTTAAAGCCTTCTCAATTCCCTTGAAGCCTATTCTTCTCTAAGAATGTATTGAAGGGAAATTAGTGGCGGAGAACTGATAAGCATTTACAGTCAAGAAAGCATTTCTCAACAAAATACTTAGGTTCTAATGCTTTTAGTGGTGGTGAATTTAATATGAACACTTACTTTAAAAGCCTTCCATTGTCACTTATTAATGAAAATGAAATACTGATTATCATATTTAAGCTGTCAAGATAGTAGATTAAACATTTTAAGGTGCTAGAGAAGAAATTTTTTATTTGCTACAACCTAAACTTGAAAAATAAACAGTAGACTTAGTCTTTTGGGTTGCATTTTTAAGCCCATTTTGCTTTTGAGAAATATCCTATAATTCTAGTACATTTTTAGCTTTGTCATGAACATCTCATAAGAATACAATTCATCTAGACCCTTTATGCACTTTAGAGATGAGGTTGGTTTTTAGTTTCACTCTTGAATAGCCAATTCAGCAAATCCAGGGCCCTTGTAATAATTTGGTACTACATGTGACATCTTACAGAAATCTTTGGCATCTGATTTTAAACAGTAAGTGCCCCAAGACAGGAGAGGGCAAGATTGTTATAGACCCAGAGTTCTTGCAATTTAAAAAAAAAAAAAGTTAAGGACTCTACAGCCTGGAAGTTTGCTCATTTCTTTCCTTTTTCTCTATTAACAGAAATAATGGATGACTGTTCAACCAATTGCAATGGAAATGGAGAGTGTATCTCTGGCCATTGTCATTGTTTCCCAGGATTCCTGGGGCCTGACTGCGCGAGAGGTAATGTTGCTCTGTTATTCCAATTGGTTTGGGGATATACACGTCTTTTGAGAACTCGGAATCAGTAGCAATAAGAGGAGGAAGAGAAGTGGCCATAGGAGTAGCAGCAAACCACCACCCCCCCACCACAACCAAAAGCTGAGCACTTACTCTGCCACAGACTGTTTGTTATAAACACTCTGTTACCTCTTCTGAATCATACATCCTTTGGAAACCGGTGACGTAGATCTACTGTTATCCCAGCTTATTGTGCCAAGAAACAACCTCAGAGAGGGGCGATAGGCAGTTACCGAACGGGTGGAATTTGTACCGGGGTCGTCTGTAACTGCTTATATACACCCGCGTAAATGGGAAGGGATAGGCAACCAGCAAACCGATAAGGAGCCTTAGAAAGTAAAGACTGGCAAGTCATGAGTGAAACAGCAAACTTTACTGTTTCCTCGACTTGCCCGTAGTTTAATTCTCGAAAAGCTTTAGATAAATCACACTGCATTTCACCCCATGCGTACAGTTACTATGGTAGAGATGCTTTCTGCTCATTTTCAGTGTATTCTTACGGTTCTCAGTCTGCTAATACTTTAATCCCAGGTTTCCCAGCCACTCAGATTCCCTTAGATTAAATTCTGCTCAGCTGAGAATTCTATAGCACTTGCTGGCTTCCTGGGAGCATGACAGATCTGGAGGATGTGGGGATTAGGAAGAAGATGGCTGGTATTAAAAATTGACTAAGACAGAAGATACAGGCCCTGCCCTCAAGGAGCCCATAGTTTTAATAGGGAGCCAACAATGACAAAGCAGAGTTTAAGTATTCTAATAAAGGTCTGCACCAGGTGTCACGGGAGTAGACATCTGTCCAGCATAAATGTATTCAAATATACGACTTTTTAAAGATAACATTTTATACTCCCTGTTTATCAGTTTCTAAAATTTTCAGGTTTTTCTTTCTAAAAGTGGCGTACATCTGTTTGAGGAAGAAAAGCCATAAGAAAAAAAATAAAACCTTGGTTTAAAATAATGATAACAGTAGTAATAATAATAATAGTTGTTTAACGGTATGTTGGGATGAAAAGCACATACTTGAAATAATTGCTTCACGCAGGATATTTTCATAACTTATCCTTTTTCCTCTCTCATAAGAGGAAAATTCTATTTGTAATCGCAAGGATGTGCCTGTTTAATAAAGGCTAAGTTAGAAATAGTACAAATTTTTGCCCGAAATATTACACAAGAATCAATAGACGATTGCTCTTTGGAGATTTTAAAAGCATTTTGAGAACACTACAAGTTCATTTGCCAACCTTCAGATTCGTGCCCTGTGCTGTGTGGTGGGAATGGAGAATACGAGAAAGGACACTGTGTCTGCCGAAATGGCTGGAAGGGGCCAGAGTGCGACGTTCCAGAAGAGCAATGCATTGACCCAACGTGCTTTGGTCACGGCACCTGCATCATGGGAGTCTGCATCTGTGTGCCAGGATACAAAGGAGAAATATGCGAGGAAGGTCAGAGCCCCATTTTAATCTATTGCTTCAGGCTTTTCTCTCACTGAATTGTGCAACTGTCATCCTGTAGAGATGCATCTAGTAGTCTCTGCAAACCGTAAATGTTCAATATGTCTTTAGTACATGGAGAAGAGGGCTGGAGTCTGGAGAACTCATGTCTCTTCAGACAGTCTCTAATATTAACACAGGGCTGTATCTGGGACACTTGCAGAGTAGTCATGAAAAATGGTGTTCCCCCCCGCCCTCTCATTTCTAACACTGCTTCATAACTTGAGAATTTCCATATTGATGACATTAGGTGATAATTCAACTGCTTTCATTGTTCCACAGTACATTAAGCTATATCTTACTTTAAAACACATGATAAAAATAATAATGGATGCACATTTGGAATGATTTCATTGAATGTTTTCTTTGGGAGCGATTTGTAATTACCATTACTATTATTGCTTTATAGTATTTATTTTTACATACCTCATGCTGGAACTTGACCTCCATGCCTAAGGAAGCCAGCGGACCACTAATGAGTTTCAAGGCAGTGCCTTTATATTAAAATTCACTCCAAAGGAACCTTTACACACACGACGCACAAACATATTTTGAAATGGCAATAGTTTCATCATTTAAAGAGACACATTGGAAAATAAGTTTACTAGTAATCAGACCTTTTTCATGCCACATTCCTCAAATAAGACTGATTTCAGAAATAATATTAAACCATTACCATGGGAGATGGTCTCATCACAACTGTTGTTCAGGAAAGAGGCTGCTGAAAATGCGCTATAATTGCTTTTTAAAGATGGCTCATTAAGACTATTACACAGCATTCTAAAGGGCTTAATCTCATTCCGCTCCAAGAGTTTAGCTTTCCACCTCCCGTTAGCAATCGTAGAATTTTGGCGTGAAGATTATATCTGTTTCAGTGAATGGCATTGGGCCTGGACAGGACACCAGAGTTCCTGAGTTACCTCTGGAAATCATTTTTATGGTTATCCAACTGCAGTCATTATGTTTAAGTTGTAAACTCAGACGTTACATGGGCATATGCATGTGCACCCAAACAATGATACCCCTCACAGCATCTACAGTTCTCCATGAAAATGTTTAACCTCATTAATTTAGACCCTTCTGATAAAAATTTGGGAGGCACTTGAAAAAGGACTTAGCTTAAATTTCCCTTCTAGGGATCTCTAAGAAAATGTGTAGAATAACCAAGATAGCAAGGAAGAATACCCACCATATTTAACAGTATAAGCTTGTCAAATACAGCAGAAAAAAAATGTTTTAAGTTAAAGGTCATAGACCAGAAACTCACAGGCTGAACTGGGCTTATGGATGGGTTGTGTTTGGGTCACACAACAGTGGTGGTGGTAGTGTTTTTATTGGGGTTTTTTTCCCCCATGTGATCTATTTGCCAAAATTTAAAAATAGAGAAGCGTCCTATAAAAATCTCTCATTTTGGTCTTTCTTGAGCAACTGGAAAATCTGATAACCATGGGCCTGTGTTCCCACATAGCGATAATCAGCTGGAACCAAGCAGCCGCAGTTTCCTTTAAACTGGACCCTTCTCTCAGTTCCCTCCCAACACACTGGCTTCTTACGTCCAGTTCATCTCATTCATGTATGCTGCTTGCTGGCTCATTCAGACATATGGCTTTGTGCCTCTGATTTAAGTATGACTTCCGTATTCCTTGAAGGTGGACTTTTAATAAAACAAACTAAGTTCACTATTATTTTGTTTGTTATAGTTGTTGTGTTTTAATGTAACAAAATAGCCTCCTTCTAAAAAATATTCTGTACTTTTAGACTTTCCCTCTTGATCCAAATAATGAACAAAATAAAATCAGATGTACCTTTAGTATTTATTTGCTGATTAGCTCAGGAACTAAAGCACTGTGCTAATGACCTTAAGGTTATGAGCTAATTATAATACAATAGCACTAATTGTAACAATGCTTAGGCTCTGTTCCATTACCAAAAGCCACACCCGAGACCAGACCAGTCTTATGAATGCAGGCAGGTTTTATCAGTCTGTTTCATTGCTGGAATACTTTTTGAATTACTTATTCAAAGCATACTCCCCTCATTATGTGGAATCATTTTAGTTTCATCTTATTGTATCGAGAGAGTAGAAATTTGGAAACAACCTTGTCATTTCCCATGGAATGGCCCCTCAATTAAAAACACAAAACAATTTTCCCCAAGGCAAGTATAGGGATCTACTTCTAAGAGTTTATACATTTGTTACAACGTGTCCAAAAATTTCCAGACTCCCAGAATTAGAGACAAATAGAATTGCATCTGTGATATTCTAAATCATCAAAGACTATGTCACGGCATCCTGATGGAAGGAGAGGCCACACAAACAATTTTTTTAATAATTTTTAAAATTTTGTTGAGAATGTTGCATTTTCAGTGCTTCTGAGAAATTAATGAAAGATTATAATAAATTGATTATGTTGTATGATTTCATGTAACAGCAGTCAGCTCACTTAATACCTAATAATCTAAGCCTAAAAAATATGTTTTAATATTTTTAATATTTTATGTTTTAATATTTTTATATATTTTTATATTTGTAGACATATATGTGTAGTATATTTCTATATTTTATATATTGATTTATATGTAATATGTGCATACACACACACACACACACACACACACACACACACTACTCTAGACATACCAAGTGAAAGCCAATTCTCAGAGCTAGGATTCCAATTTCAGAAAAGACAAGGAATGACTTCCCCAAAATTCTTAGGCTTTCTTGCGAAGCCAAGGAATTCCTGTTGAAAGCCCACACTGGTGCAGCCACCCATTTATGTGGGAGTACTACACCTTGCGTAACAATTTTAAGCAACGTATGTGTGGTTTCCTTCGTCTTCTAATTTTAGGATGCAACCTTTATGATACCCTACATATTTTTAAGTATTAATCATCTCCTGGTTTGAATACAGCCTTTGTATGAGACATTTTATTACCTAATTTAATACCGTATTAATGACGTATTAGGAAATCAAGTGTGAGTATCTCAGTTTCATCATCCTAAAGTATATAGGCAACACCTGTTCACTTTCAACCTTTTTCCTCCTTTTTTGGGGCTTTCAGAAGACTGCTTGGACCCGATGTGTTCCAGCCATGGCATCTGTGTAAAAGGAGAATGTCACTGTTCTACTGGTTGGGGAGGAGTCAACTGTGAAACTCCACTTCCTATATGTCAAGAGCAGTGCTCAGGACACGGGACTTTTCTTCTGGACACTGGGGTGTGTAGCTGTGATCCCAAATGGACTGGATCTGACTGTTCAACAGGTACACTGGAGTTACTTCCTTTTCTTCCTTCCTCCACTCCCAAATTCTCACTGGCCTTTGCCTTAAGGTAGAACTTGTTAAAGTCTGGGTTGTAGGACTTCATGGGTCATAAAGGACTTCCAAGTATTTCCTAGGCTAGCATTTTACTGGGTTTTCATATGCAACATGCTACTGGGCTTCTTCTTGTATTTTCCGTTGTAGGTCTGTACTTGAAGCTCTGTCCTCATTCTGTATTCTCCCACAGTTTTGTCTTTCCCTGAGCCTCCTACCATCAGTTCTATACAGGTTATTTCAAAGCTGTATCTCCCCCCAAATAATCCTTCACATCTAGTCATCTGCTGAGTATTTCCACTGGGTGTTCCATCACTTAGAAACAGAACTTAGCTCAGGAACTCTATTTATACATTGCCATATTGCCACCCAATTGCTCTTCCCACGACTTGGCTTTCCTTTTCCTATTTCTTACCTTAAAATCAGCTCTAGGTCTCCCCTGTCTAGAAATAAACTTCACATATCCTAGCCTGTTATTAAAAGCCCACCACAGATTCTCCCAAACCTCTGTCTCCAACCTGTCTTCTACTTGTGCTTCTCACATGAATCCCTCCTTCTGTGAATGTACTCTGTATGCTCTGCCCCCTCCCAGGGCATGCCACGTTCACACTTTTCTCCATGCCCTTTCCCCGGTGGGGAATGCTGGTACCTTTCTAACCTAGGAAAATCCAGCCCATGGGTGCCTGGGTAGCTCAGTAGGTTAAGCGTCGGATTCTTGATCTCGGCTCGAGTTCTCACGGTTCATGCGTTCAGGCTCCATGTCGGGCTAGGCACTGTCAGTGCGGATCCTGCTTGGGATTCCCTCTCTCCCTCTCTCTGTCCCTCCCCTGCTCATGCTCTCTCAGTCTCTCTCAGAATAAATGGATATACTTAAAAAGAAAAAAAATCCAGCCCACCCACCAAGACCAACTATAGTTTTTGCTATTCTATAAAACCTCTCCTGATCACATCAAGAGGATCCTCTGAAATCCCACCGTACGCATTGCTAGACAGTAAAAATGGCATCGTGATGTAGGTATTTGTGTACGTGATTTGTTTTTCCGCCTAAACTAAAAATAATGGGTAGTTCTTTATACTTTGTTTTCTTACCCTTGGACCATGTGCTCATTCAATGAGTAGAATGAACAAATAATAACTCCTACAGAACCTCTGCCTGTGAATTTTGTTGAGAATGTAAAATGACATGTGGTAAATGGGAAAGATTAGGAGCTCAGTGGGACTTTTTGTACCACAGAATTAGTTTATGAACCAAAAAGTCTCCAAACCTGTGCTGTAAAGAAATGAGAAAGCCCCTCTGTTAAGAGAATTAAGCCTAACATAATACTTTACTGTACAAAATTTTGTTGCCTCACATACAAGTAATATGGGAGAGAGGATTGCATTTTACACTTTCAGAAATGGGTAAAATGATAAATTTTAACTAATAATAACTAAACTATAGACCTTAAAATTCTTCATTTATATACTTAGCAAATGCATGTGTGCCTGCTATGTGCTTGTCATGGTGCTTGGTGCTGGGGATGTGGTGGCAAACAAGATGGATGTGGTCCTTGGGCAAAAGGAGCTTCCAGTCTAGTGGAAAAGACACTTAGAGCAAGCTAGAAGATGGTTACAAAAAGGAAGTAACTGGGTATTATGGGACTTTATAGTATGGCTCTAGGCTGACTATTCATTTATTTGCTACATGTCATTGACCACCTTCCATTCCTTCATGTGTCAGATATAGTATGTCCGGAGCTTCGAATTTAAAATAAGATTAACGTTTGTGTTGTTATTAAAGCACACACTCACATAACAATTATTATGTAATAGGCGCTATTCTTTCTTTAAGTTTTGTTTTACAGCTTATTTACTCATTTTGGGAGGGGTGGGTAGGGCAGAGAGGGAGAGAGAGAATCCCAAGCAGGCTCTGCGCTGACAGCACAGAACCATGAGATCACGACATGAGCCAATATCTAGAGTTGGGACACTTAACCGACTGAGCAACCCAGGCACCCCTAATGGGCAATATTCTAGGTGTTGTACATATATTCGTTTAATCTTCATAACAACTCTGTGAGATAAGTACTATAAGTGTGCCCATTTTACGAACAAGGAAGCTGAGCCACAGAGAGGTTAAATAACTTGCCCAAAGTCATCCGTATAACAAGTAATAGAACCGGAATTTGGGCTAATAAGCTATTCTGGCTTCACGTTCTGTACATCTAACCACTGTCCTGTCCTGTCCTGTCCTGTCCTCTAGAGGCCTGTGACCTAATTCACTGTATAAAAAAAGTATTATTGGACTGTGCTGCAGAACACAAAAAGGGGACAGTAGGGTATTTCTGTGAGAAGAGGCCCCATAGTCAGGGAAGACTTTGAAGGAGTCAACATTTGAATCCACATTAGAAAGATGATCACATGTTCATCACGTGGACAAGAGGGGAAAGAACATTCCAGGCAGATGGAGTAACTTAAAGAAATAGAGCTATGAATGCAAATGCCATGACTGAGGGTTTGCTAGTCCTTGGGCATAGCTGCAGCCTAGAAATCCAAGAGGAGACAGGGGCAGGGCTAGAACACAGGGAGTTGGGTTTACACACCATGCTAAGGGATTTGCATTTCCCCTTGACACAGTAGGAAGCCACCAAGTGGTTTACAACAAACTGCATGGGAGATAGACCACTCTTTCAGGAACCGGAGAGGAGGTGATGCCTGACCTGGGGGCCTAAGGGACAAGGACGATGTGATGATTAGAGTTGCCCAGGAGTGGAGTGCTGGGGAGGGCTGGAGCTGACACACCACGCTTGCTAGAATAGCGAGGCGGAGACATACCAGAAAGGAGTTACCACTGCAGATGAGGGACAGAGAGGAGCCAAAGATAACCACCCTGAATCGCTAGGTAAAAGGAGGCACCACCAGCTGACACCAAACAAGCACATGCAGAGGGGTGCCTGGGTGGCTCAGTCAGTTAAATAGACTTGATTTCTGCTCAGGGCATGATCTCGTGGTTCGTGAGTTCGAGCTCACGTCGGGCTCTGTGCTGACAGCTCGGAGCCTGCTTGGGATTCTGTCTCTCCCTGTCTCTCTCTCTCTCTCTGCCCCTCCCTGACCCTGAAAATAAATAAATAAACATTTTATTTTATTTTTTACCTTTTTATGACATGTTTTTATTTATTTTTGAGAGACAGAAAGAACACAAGCAGGGGAGGGGTAGAGAGAGATGGAGACACAGAATCCAAAGCAGGCTTCAGGCTCTGAGCTGTCAGCACAGAGCCCGACGTGGGGCTTGAACCCATGAATTGTGAGATCATGACCTGAGCTGAAGTTGGATGCTTAACCTACTGAGCCCCCCAGGCACCCCAATAAATAAAAAATTTTTTTAAGCACAAAAAGCCAGGTTTGGGCAAAGAGACAGGACCTGGTGAGGTCAGTTTTGGACGTGGTAAGTTAGAGATGCCTGCAGAAGATCTGGGTTGGTATGTCCCGTGACAGATTGATACTCAAGAATGGAATTTATGGGAGAACTCTGAACTGGAAACAAATATTTGGGATATAGTTCAGACCTTAGGAATGCACATTATTGTCCAAGAAGAGTGCAGAGAATAAGAATGAAGAAAGTCAAGACCCTAGAGAACACCAATATATAATATCTTTACCATGAGAGGGTTCCTAACATTTAGTCAAAAACTGGCCTCTTTATATAAGACTTAATAAGCATTTATTGTTTGAATAGTGAATATGTATCATACGGTTTCTCCCTCAGGCCACTCACATCCCTCATGTGTCCTTCCTGATGCCACAGAATTGGGTAAAATTTTTGGCAATACACCTCTTACCAATTGTACAAATTCAAATATTTGTATTTCCGATGAGTCCACATGAAATTCCGTGTGCTGAGAGTTTCTCTTTCCACAGCCCACCCCTTCCACCTAATACACAAAGACATGCACCAGGCCTGTCAGCAGAAATGACTCAGAAGGGGAGGAAAAGGCTAATTATGAACATGCCTCTACACTTGCCCCCCTTGCACATGAAGTACCCCAACCCTATGCTACGCCTCCCTCACCTCAAATCACCCTTACCCATCCAAATAAATCACATGGTCCTCACCATGCGTGAGAGCCCCCCAATGTGAGAGCCCCATAGAAGATTAGGTCTGGAAGAAAATGTACAGATGTCTGCCTCAATGTTTCATAGATGTGGTGGCCTCTGGGCCACCTGCCTCAGCATCAGTAGGGATTCTAATACTCGGCAGCACAGACAGGTGAAGCAGTTTGCCCAGAGGTGAAAGCCACTGAACTGGTCTAACCTCCTCATTGAATTGTTCATTTCCCCTATTATGTCCCTGTCCTCATGTGAGGCGATGAGATACTTCGTGATCAAACGTATCTATAGCTGGGGAGACAAGTGTGAACAAAGATTTAAAATACCTCTCACTAAGCTATAAAAGAGAGAGGTGCAACGCACAAGGTGTATTTAGCCTCACTCGAAGGTCTAGAAAGTAGTCACAAAAGACCACAGCCCTGAAGGGGACTGTATACCACACCTAGGAGTTTAGACTTGATCCCGAGGACAATGGGAAAGCCACTGAGGGGGTTTAAAGAGGTTAGTGTCATGACTATTTACATTTTAGAATGATCACTCTGAATATAAAAAAGAGGGAGGTAAATAGTAAAGAAAAGTTGATATAAGGGAATTTACGTGCAGATGGAGATGAAAGGATGGGTATGAGACAAGCTAGGAAACAGGACTTGGTTACTGGATACGTGCCAGGGGAGGCAGGAATTTTCACGGACTCTGTGATGTCCATGGTGGAAGACTGGATAAATGGTGAACACCGCTAACAGAGAAATGCGTTACTTCTCTACTAAACAAATTTTCATTGAGCACCTACTATGTGCCACATGCTAGGATCTTGAGGATCAGTGAGGAAAATAAAGATTCCTGCACCAGCGGCGCTTGCAGTC